GGTGAGGCAGTGGTACACACTGCATTGGAGTAAGGAGAACTGAGTTCTTGATCCCAATGTGCTGCTCTAAGGCCTTATCACCAGAGACATGAAGATAATGATAGGATTATTTATATAAATAAGACTTGCATTCAAGTCTCAAATTATTCAAGCTCAAAAGTGCCCTGGAGATGATATACGATATATAACCCAGTATTTGGAATCAAGAACCTGAATTTGAACCCTGATTCTTCAAATTACCACCAGTATTATGAAAGGAAAAAGATTGCAATGAGCAAGTGTGGTTGAGTGAACCCTGTTTATTTCTGATGAAGGTAACTGTTGCATTTCAAAATGAGATAGAATTAGTGAAAAACAACTAGCAAGCATGATGCTATAGAACATTTTATAGCTTTTTAAGCTATAATACAAACATTATACAGGACTGAACAAACTTTTTATGATTTTAAAAATGCAATTGTTAATGTTACTTGTACCTAGAATACAATTAAAAGTCAAACAGTGGGGGAAAATTGTGGCCTGATGTATCATCTTCTTAGTCTGGTGATGAAAATTTTATGGTCCATCCAAAACACTCTAGCATAATTCTTGAAATGGTAGAATCCCAGGGGTGGGGAACATGTGACCTCAAGGCCATGTATGGCTCTCTAGGTCCTCAAGTGTAGTCCTTTGACCAAATCCAAACTTCACAGAACAAATTCCCTTAACAAAAGGATTAGTTCTATAAAACTTGCACTTAGTCAAAAGGCTGCATCCAAACACCTAGAAGGCCACATGTGACTTCAAGGCTGCAGGTTCCCCACCCCTGGTAAAGACTATTCCATCATATTCTTAAAACAAATATAATGCAAGTGAGAAACGCCTCCCCTGTAATAGTAGTTCAATAAATATTTCACTTAGTGATTGAATGAAAAGATTAATTAAAAGTTGACTCATGTTATTCAGACAGAGATGTTTTAAATGTTGTTGACAAGTCAAAGGAAACTTTGGCAATCATGCAAATTTCCTCAAAGACAAAAAAAATCACATGGTAGTTAGAACCTTTGGTCTTTGATTCAATAGGACTAAGGAAACTAGCCCTATCATACAATGTGTCCCAAAAGTCCTGGTGTAGTTCTAAGCCATTAAATCTTAGAACTGCACCAGGGTTTTTGCGACACCCTTTATATTACCCTGGATATCATACAACTATATATCATTCACTCCGTCTTTATGAGAAAGATGGAAATCAGTAACTTTTTCAAGAAAGCAAGTTTCTGGGATCAGTCCCTCTTTAGTTCTATGTATCTCAATCTACAGCATAAAATAATAATTGATATTCATAATGATAAGAGTCATCAAAAGATGGGGAAAGTACCATATTGATCTAAATGTAAGACTGTGCTTCCCTCCCACCCCACCCCCGCACCAAATCTGTTTTTATAAAATTTGAATGCAGCCCATTATTATGCTCTTAGTATAGATCTTTTCCCCTTGTAAAGTCTGAGCACAACTGGCTGTATTCTTTAGAGATAGAGATCTCACTATAAAACCCCATCAACTCTCCTCTCTTTCCTCAAACATCCTCAAGCTGGAAGGGATGCCAAGAGGGGTTGGTGGGAGGTGAGCCACAGAAAAGAATCTCTCCAAGGAGTTTGTGTCTTTGTCCCTTCAGCCCTTCTCCTCCACACCCAGGCTGGTTGTAGATTCAGAGGAGTCAGTGGAGCTCAAAGGCATGGCAGAAGAGGATTGGGGAGCCAGGAAGAGTGGGATTCCAACCTTTACAGTTTAGGAAAGCGTGAGGTGAGAGGGAGGAAGAATGGGGGAAGAGCAGCAAGTGAGAGATGAGCTATTAGTCATCTTCTCAAAAAGCTCGATACTTACCTGATTTTCTAAATTTTCCCATTTACTTGTATTCCATGTAAATTACCAAGCTGCCTAACATTTTTGTGTGGCAAAAACTTACTTTTAATCTGAAAATCTGAATATTAATACTTCTAATCTGAAATATATCAGTAGTATTTTTAATAGAGAATTTTTGGTACTTATTTTTCAATGCAATTGTGTCCTTTCAAAAATCTCATTTTAGCAACCTCAGACACTTGACACTTACGAGCTCTGTGACCCCGGGCAAGTCACTTAACCCCGATTGCCTCATCAAAAAAAAAAAAAAAAGAAACAACAAAAAAAAATCTCATTTTAGGATATATGGCCTCCATTTGATCAATATGGTGATCTTATTAAAGAGATGTCTATTAAAATAATGTTCTAATATTTGTAAAGTTAAACATAAATCTTAATCTTTTTGTTGTTATTGTTAGATTGGGTCTCATTATCTCATCCAGACTAGAAATACAGAGTCTACTCTTGGGCTCTATCAGTAATACTAGTCTAAATACTGTAATAAATACTAAATACTAATCTAAAAATCTAAATCCGTAACAATCCGTAATATATCTGTAAGGGCTACTTCAGCCCTTCTTTGAAAGTGTGGTGTCCTTTCATTCCTGGGAACTCATAATATTGGTGCCAGACTTACTGTGAACATCCAGTCAGCTTTAGCTTTACTATAGTTCAGTACTCCCATATTCCCAAATCCTCCAGCATCAGTGTCTACAGGTATGCATTATCATGCACATTTTTAAATAATTTTAAGTCTTCATCTCCAGGGCATTTTAAAATATAACTATGAAGTAAAACTGACTATCCAGAACCCTCAGGAAATGTTTTCTTAAAAAGCCGTATTTTCCAGACACCATGGGTTTACTTATGATTTTTAAATTTTTCAATAGAAATCTTATTATACATTGCCTTGCCTTTTTTTTTTTTGAAGCAATCAGAGTTAAGTGACTTGCCTAGGGTCACACAGCTAGTAAGTGTCTGAGACCAGATTTGAACTGAAGGAGAGAAGTCTTCCTGACTCCAGGCACAGCATTCTATCCATGGTGCCACCCAGCTGCCCGCCTTGCCTACTTAAACATAATATTCTAAAGATAATATTAGCATTCTTTTTTTGTTTTTTTGTTTTGTTTTGTTTTGTTTTAGGCAATAGGGGTTAAGTGACTTGCTCAGGGTCACACAGCTAGTAAGTGTCAAGTGTTTGGTCTGAGGCCGAATTTGAACTCAGGTCCTCCTGACTTCAGAGCCGGTGCTCTATCTACTGCGCCACCTAGCTGCCCCTGCATTCTTTAACATATTTATTACAAACATCAATTACTCTACTGTACGGAAAGGTATAGTTGTGTTTCCAAAGCCAATTGAAGAAATGACCCAAGGCTTATATGATTTTTTAATTCGTGTTTTCTTTTTACAATTTTTCTATCTCCAACTTTGCTATTATTAGTTACTTCTTATGTGTTTATAGGTTCCACAGTGTATCTGCTTTACCTAATTTGCTATTCCAGTCCCTCTAGTGGTAAAAAAAAAAAAACAGGTCATCATACTTGTTAGAATTGTGTGCCAAATAAGAGTAAATAATCTTTGAGTCAAGGCCTGAGTGTCCTTTTGTGCTTAAAATGCATAGTCCTAGAACTTATAGCATCTATTTTAGTAGTGGAGTCTTTCTTTTTTTTTTCTTTTTTTTCGCTTACTTCCTGGTCTTTGCTTGTATAACTGAAGTTGCTAAATAAATAGCTAAATTGCAGATAGATAAAGTATCTTCACAACACTTTTCCTATGCAAAGCTCTTTACCAACTAGCAAATTCTTCTATATCTCTTAAATATTAACCAGCCACTAGAGACAGAAAAGGACAAGAATTGATAATTGATGGGACAGTTTATTCTTAAATCCAATTCATAAACCAGAGATTTCATGTTTTCTTTAATAATCAATGTCATAGTGAATATACTTATACAAGCATAATTCCACTTCAAGCAAACTGGATATTCAGATTTTTTTTTTAAATTTAGGGAGACTCTTTACAAAAAGCAGTCTACAAGGGATTGGATTCACTGCAGGATTGCTTTCAGTAGCAAACTTTTTTAGAACATTGACTATATTTTGATATTTCAAAGACCTGTGATTTCATCAGTGTAATTACTCCCTCAGGAGATGGTCTTCATTAGTTATTAGAGCCAAAACAATTCATAACATAATGACTAATTTCCTGAGCGTAAAGTCTCATAGAAGTCTATATTAAAGTTGAAGGGGAAAAGGGGAAAAAAAGCGTATCTGCTCTCAGGCTGATCTTTGAAAGATAAATTCAATCCATTACTGCTCCACTGGAAGGAGTCTGAGAATCCAGGTTCACCTCTAAGCCATGAGGAAACTTTAGAATATGGCTTTAATAGAGGACATTTATATGATTGAATTTGCAAAATTTTATTTGCATACAACTTTTAGCCACTGTGGGGAAGAAGTCTTTACAATCCATAATAATATAATGAAACCTAGTTACTTTTTGTGGCAAAGGGTATCTGGGTTCTCCTCAATGTGCCATAATTTGGGTGCAACAGTGGCATGATAATAGTGTGTTTACATATCTAAAGATCTGGTGATCGGTTTGGGTCGGTTTTATTGACAAATTCATGGCCATGAATGAGTTTTCTCATATTGGTACCTTTCTAGTTTTTGTTTTCTCTGTTCCCCACCCCCAGATTTTAACAATGAAAAGATGAACTTATTTTTCTAGTTGTTTCTTCTTTAAATCTTAACTTTCCAGGCAGACTTGATAGCCCCTTGATGACAGCATCTGTCTCATACTTACTTCCTTTCTCCTCTGATGCGTTGTCTAGTACTGAGCAAAGAGTATGTACTCATTAAGTTAGTTGGTTGACTATCATATAATAAAAAGTATAAGAATTAATATTCCTTTTTCCCATGATAGTAACTTTTTCCTCTCTTAGAGAAAAAGGCCAGCTGTATAAATGTGAAATAAGAACATAAAGGTAATTATAAGAAATATTAAATATGACAGAAATGTACTTAGAGGAATACATCTTATAATTATTATGTGTAAGTTCAATATTCTAAAATATATTTTAATTGAGATTTTGTTTTGTTTTGTTTTTTTTACTTTAGCACAGAAGTTGGGTTTGATTGAACCACCTCCATTGCCTTTATCAGCTGAAGAATGGGCAAAAGTAAAGGAGAGGTCCATAAAACAAGGGGATTCTATGCATCCATGTGCAATATGTAGAGAAGAATTTGAGCTTCAGTCACAAGTAATATGCAGAAAGAGCATTTGAATTTAACTATCAAAATTCATATAGACTGCTCTGCATCTTTAAGCTATTTAATTGACATACTTTAATGCCTTCCATAGCTCCCCTTCACTACATAATACATCATAGTAAGTGCAATATAATGGTGGGAGCAAAGGAGAAGGAGATAGATCAGTAACAGATGAAAAAATTCATGGTTGTCCAAGTCACCCACGTTCTTCGCATTCAGTTCTCTTCCTCAGCACCAACTACAATATTCCTTTCTACGTAACTTTCTTCGGCATAACCGCAAATAATTGTGGACATGTGTCATGTCTTCTCCTCCTGAATATACCCAGTCCTTCATAGTATTTGATATTAACTCAGTTCTAGTTCCCTTGCCATGCATTTATTTTGGGGGAATTGTTTCTCAGCCCTCTGGAATCTGCCTAAGAATATCATGGAGATATATTTCACCCTGACCCCTAACTGTAAGCCAGGAAGTGTTCCTGCCCTTCCCCTCCCAGAATTTACTAAAAAAAAAAGGATTCTTCCTTTGTGGGCCTCAAAGCTACCTCTCCCTAGATTTTGGACCTTGGTATCTCCTTGGTCTCTTGTCTCTTGTCTTGAAGTCTCTGAAGAAGTCTCTGAAGCCTTGAAAGCTGCTTCCTCTCTTGTTTAGCCCCATCTCTCTCCTGGCTAGCCTGAAGTAATTCTGCCAACCCTATCACTTGGGCCCTTCATGGTAGTCACATCCTCCACACCAGCTACTGGCTTAAACTTGGATCATTGTACCCTTACTGCATGATTCTTCCACCTAGCACAATTTTCCATCTAATTTTGATTAGGGCCCAACTGGCCCTACCTCACTATCATTGGCTAAACTAAGCTGCAAGACAGAGACTTGATGGCTGTTCACTGTCCCACCTCAGTGTGATGAGACCCTGGCCTCACTGGGGCTCCTCCCTGTGAAGAGATCTTGGAGATTCTGTGGGGCGTCAACAATTACAATAGCCAAATGTACTTATGGACATAAGGTGTTAACAATATGTTGTCAAGCCAGAGTTGAGTTCAATTCAACGAACATGTATTGACTTCCTACTTGCTGCGTAAGGCACTTTAGGAGATTCATTGATGAATGAAAAAGATGTCCTCAAGAAGCCTGCAGTCTAACGGAAGTTACTCATAAAGAATTTCTATTTTTAAAGAAAACAAATAACTTTATGCATCATGGTCATACAAGAAGAAAATATAATTTGTAATGAATGTCTCTACATTACATGGGGAAAATCTCTATGAATTATAGAAATTAAATATTCTTAATAATCATCATTCATTAAGCTTATCATCACAGTAAGATATGTAATGTAGTATTGTGTTAATAGATTTGATGTACTACTGTGTCATGTATTTTTTACATGTCTTATCTCCCCTCCCAACTAGATTATAAACTCCTGGGGGACAGGGGACTATTTTAGACTTCTCTGTATTCTCCCATAAACACTATAATCTTAGATTACATGCTTACTTAGTGAATGAATTAACCAAGTGAGCTGTGTTCACTTCTTGGGTTCTACATGTTAGGAACCTAGACGGTGGCTCAGAGTATGGTGAAGGACCTTAAGATCATGCCATATGTGGATCACTTGAAGGACTGGGATATTTAGGAGAAGACGTTTGAGGGACCTGACATCTGTCCACAATTTTTTGAAAGCTATCATTCAGAAAAGACTTGTTCTGCTAGGAGTCAGTGTGCTTCAGTAGAAGGAGCACTGGATCTGAAGACAGTGGACTTGGGTTCAGATCCTGGCTCTTCCACTTACCACCTGTGTGACCTTGGATGTCTGTGGACCTCAGTTTCCTCAGCTACAAAATGAGGAAGCTGTACTGGATGACCCTGAAGATACCTTCCATCTCGGAATCTATGGCCTTATGATTCTAGATTTGGCAAGAGAACAGAGAACTAGGACAAAGGGTGGTAGTTGAGAAAAGCAAATTTCTATTCTGTGGAAGAAAAAACTTCTTAATGGTCAGAATTCTCTGAAAGTGGAATGGCCTACCTTGGAAGGCAACAGATTCTCCCTCCATTGGAGATTATCAAATAGGGCTAAATAATTATTTCTTAGGAGGTAGATAGGATTCCTATATAGGCATTAAGTTAGATCAGATGGCATTGGGGGAAGATGAAAATTTCAAATATGAGAGCATTCATTGTTTTATACGATATTATTTTGTGTACACTGACCTGATTGCAGTTCCTCAAACCCAACCCTCCCTCTCTTGCTTTGGTGCCTGGCTGACCCCCACACTTGGAATGCTTTGCTCTCTCTCCTCTTTGCCTCTTAGTTTCCCTGGCTTCCTTTAAGACTCAGCTCAAGGGGCAGCCAGGTGGTGCAGTGGATAGAGCACTGGCCCTGGATTCAGGAGGACCTGAGTTCAAATTCGGCCTCAGACACATAACACTTACTAATTGTGTGACCCTGGGCGAGTCACTTAACCCCATTGCCTAACCAAAAAAAGAAAAAAAAAGACTCAGCTCAAGGCCCACTTTCTGTAAGATGCCTCCCCCAGCTACTAATGCCATCTCCTCTCATATTACCTAAGATTTGCTCCGTATATATCTTGTAATTTACAAGTTGTCTTTCTACTTTGAATAAGTGCTCCTTGAGGGGAAAGACTGGTTTTGCCTTTCTTATATTCTCAGTGCTTGGTACAGTGACTGGCATATAGTAAGTGCTTAATAAATGCTCTTTTACAGACTTTCAGGATCAGAAGGAAGCCTAGAATCCACGGCCATATTTGATTCATGCAAATTCTCACACGTAGCAGGGAGAGCCATAGATGTTTGAACTAATGAATATGTCCACTACCATAAATTATTTGATGTTTTTCAGCTTCAAATTCTCATGCTATTTCAAATTAATATTACTTATGAAATTTTTTTTAAGAATCAGTCAGATCTTGATTGCTCAGAAGTTAGATACTTTGGAATGCATTTTAATTTAAAAAGCAATTGCGTAGTTACCTTTTAGGATGAGAACGCTAAACCTAATTTAGGAATAAGGGCTGCTATCTACAGTGACCTGAATTAATTCAGCTCTCCTATAACATAGGGGAAGAACTACTTCTTAATTATTCGGTCTGAAAGGAAGATTTGATGGGGGGAGTTCCAGGGAAGTATCAGGATGGAACTCTATTCACTTCTTTTCATTCTCTACAGTTTCCGTCAATCGACCAGCAAGTATCTGTTAAGTTCCTACTATGGGCCAGGCACTGTGTTTAGGTGTTAGGGATTCGAGTACAAAGAATGAAACAATCTCTGGAGATAAGTACATGTAAAAACACATACAGTAGAAATATAAAGTTAATAAATACAAAGTAGTTAAATACAAGGTAGTTTGGGAAGGAGGGCACCAGCAGATGGGGAAATCGGGAAAGGCTTCACAAAGATAGTGCTTGAGCTGCATTGTAAAGGAAGAGAGAGAGTCTGTGACACAGAGGGAAGGAGGGAGAACATTGCCAACATGTGGGTAGACCAGGGCAGGCGCTAAGATGGCATGCAGAGTATGTTACGTAAGGAACAAAGAGAAGGCCAGTTTGGCTGACCTTAGAGTGCAAGAGGGGAAGTCATGTACAATGAAACTGGAAAGCTAGGTTGAGGCCAGCTTGTAAAGGGGTTTTAAAGCTAAACTGAGAAGTTTATATGTGATTCTAGAGGCAATAGGAAGCCACTGGAGTTGGTTAAGGAAGGGATTCATGTGATCAGATTTGTGCTCAAGAAAAATGTCTTCAGTGGCAGTGTGAGGTGGACAAAAGTAGGGAAAGTTACTTGAGACAGGGAGACCCAATTTGGAGGGCACTGTTGCAGTGATCTAATTGAGAGGTGAAAAGAGCCTGAATTAAGGTGGTAGCTGCATGAACTGAAAGAAGGGGTAAGATGAGGGAGGTGCTATGAAAGGAAAAACAGTAAGATTTGGCCACTGATTAGATATGTCTTATGTGGGAGAGTGAAAAATTCAGGATGATGCTGAGGTCACAAATCTGGGAGACTAGAGGGATATTAGTACCTTCTACAGAAATGGGCAAGTTTGAAAGAAAGAAGCGTTTACAGGAAAGAATAGAAAGGTCAGTTTTAGACATGTTAAGTTTAAGATATCTCCAAGACAGTTTGAAATATCCAATAGGCAACTGATAATACAGGACTGAAACTTGGAGAGACTCCAGCTGACTCTGTAAATTTGGGCATCATCTGTATAAAGGTGAAAACCATGGGAGCTTATGAGGTTATCAAGAAAGAGTGTGAAAGAAGAAAAGAAGAGAGCCTAAGCTGGAATCTTAGGGAACACCCACAATTAAGGGGCATGATGTGGTTGATGAACCAGCAAAAGATACTGAGGAGGAGTATTCATATAGGTGGGAGAGAGAAGACCATCATGAAAACCCTGAGGAGAGGGAGGAGAGGGCAGTGAAGTGCCTGATGCAGTAGCTGATTGAGGAGGCATATGCATATTTGTTTATTTCATTAAATTCTGTCATTTTGTGTGGTTGTTTATAAGTTCATTATTAACTTCATTTGTTTAGTATATCTAGTTTCCTTTTTTAATTTTCTTATATTTCGGACCTACCCACATGACAAATAAGAGATTAAATGAACCCCATATATCTCTGAGTGGGACAAATGTTATTCCCATTTTACAGATGAGGAAACAGATTAAAGAGTTCAAGTAATGCATTTGAGGCCACCCAAGAAGTTATGACATGGCCAGATTAGAATTGAGTTCTCATTAGCATTCCTGTTGCTACAACCTTTTTTGAAGCACATTAACTGCCACTTACTGATTTATTTTAGTTATCTGAGAGAATATTTGCCCTGTAGCAGGTATTTACAAAGATCGTACTATGTTTTATCATGTTCTCATATATACTGAATTCTAACTATTAAAATATATCTTCAAGCATCTGTTGATGAAATACTTGAAAAGATTCTTTTAATAAAGGATGAGTGAGTAATTGCATACATATATGATTGTTATTAGACAGATTAAATGGTAATTATTCAGAAAGGACCCAGATTACTGGATTCATTCATTTTAAACTTTTTGAGGAGTGGTGAGGGACTGAAGCTATTTCGAGGAACTTATTTAGAACTTCCTGAGCTGTATTTTTCGCCATCTTTTCCTCCTTTAAGGAAAAGTTTAGATTGAACAAAGGTAGGTTAGGTTAATTCTTGTGAAAACAGGAGAGTGTTCCTAAATTCAGGCTGTCTGGCAGTGCTGAGGTTTAAGTCTTAACCAGGGAGTGTTAAAGAATGCACTCATTAAAGGTTACTTCAGATTCTGCACACACACAAAAAAAAAGGGAGAAATGCCTTTGGCTTTTTTTTTTTTTTTGTCCTACATGTTTCCTTAACTTTCTTCCCTGAAGGGGGGAAAAAAGCCACTGGATCTGAAAGCTTTCCCTTCAGCTGGCTGTTAGCCACTAATCCTTTTGTGTTTGCCAGCTCAATGGTGCATACTCGTTGTTCTAGTTTCACCCCTTTGCCAGTTCTTCCTTCCACTAATAACCAACTGCCTTTTTTTTTCTTTTTCTTTTTCTCTTTTTGGTCTAATGCTCTATCTTTTGTCATGGCACAGATAACCACCATTTGGTGGGAATTTGGGTCAGAGAAAGGTGAAGTTTTCATGAAGCTTGTGAGCATACTTTCTCTGCATTTTTCTGAAAAACAGAGTCATTCATATGTCTTCATGATATATTGCTTCTTAAATTTGAGTGTCATTTGGTGGAACAAAGCACCCAAAAAAAGTATTTACTTAAAATTTCTCTGCTTCCTTCCCTCACCATCCCCCACATCCCTATTCTGATTCCTACCGCTACCTTTTACACACATACAATCACTCTTATTATCTGTCTAGGAAATATACCTACTCCTTAATTGCTTTACTTTTCAAATATAGACTATCTGAATAATTCAGTTTAGAACTAGTGAGTGATGGTAAATTTAGCTTATTCAACCTGACTTCATATGTATGCATTCAATTTTGAGGTACTAAATTGTAAAAGATTATTTTTTCCTCTTTTGCGCTCTCTATTAAATTTTAACATTACAGTTTTTGAACTTATGAAGTAGAGATTAGTTTTGTTTTTTTTTTTCAAAAGAAGCAACAGTTAACCTGTTGTGCATTCAGAACTTCTCTTTTAATTAATATGTTTGTGGTGCATCCCTTTAAAACTAATTTAAACTTCAAACAATTTTTTGTTTTCCTGTGAACAACAGGTGCTGCTTTCATGTTCTCATGTATTTCACAAAGTAAGTAAATCCTGTTTTAACTCTTACAATAAAGTATGCAATACATCATTCTTGTAACTTAAAGAATCTAGCCTAGCCTTACTCAATTTAAAGTCTTCCAAAAAGAGCCATTTATTTTATCCTTAATCACCATTTATAGTTGGAAACATGACTTAAGGCTACAATACAATTCATCCTGTTTTTCAAATGGTGAATTTTATGTGACAAAAGAACCACAAATGTTTGTCTAACAGATTGTTATTAATAATGTACATCAAAGTGAATGATAGCTTAATTCACATGATTTAACTTCATGTTAGTCTTACACATAACAATATACCTCTACAGCAGTTGATTTCCAGAAGTTTTTGATGTCTTCATGTTTATTCCTGTAAAATATGACTTTTGGAACAGGATTCATGAAGAAGGTGTTAATGTCTGATGAAACTTTTTCACATCATAATCTAAATTAGACATTCTCATAATTATGGGAGAAAAGAACACTGTAATTACATTAGAAGTAAATGTGTTGTTTATAAGTAATTACTCACAAAATCTTAAATGAACTTTTTCCTCAGGCATGTCTCCAGGCTTTTGAAAAGTTCACAGGTAAAAAAACTTGCCCTCTGTGTAGAAAGCAGCAATATCAGACAAGAGTGATACATGATGGAGCTTGGCTTTTTAAAATAAAATGTGCAACAAGGTAAGAACTATTTCAGATTAATCATAACATGAATCATTCCAATAATCAATTAAAAATAAATCCATAGTAAACCCAAATATGAAGCATTGAGATCTAGGTATTTAGAAATAATTTAAAAATATGTGCATGGTCTGAACAATCTGGAAAGGCTTTGGAGTATGATGAAGTAACAAAGTGATTGTGTGTTTTCCAAGGGCCATCCTAATTAAATTCAGAGAACCACATCACCAGTTAGGCCTCAGGGTGATAAATTTTTCTTCCATATCTACTCTAAAAGACTATATAGCAGGAGAAGGGTTTGCAGTCTGTATCATCCTGCACTAAAGAGGTTACTGGTTCATGACTTAGGTATATGTTTTTTGATCGTCACAAATCTCTTCAATCAAATATCTCTGTTCTTAGGATACAGGCCTATTGGAGAGGATATATTGTTCGAAAGTGGTACAGAAAACTGAGGCAAACCATACCTCCCAAAGATGCCAAATTAAGAAGAAAATTCTTTGAAGAAAAGGTAGATATGAATTTTCTAAATACAGTTTCTACATTCTCTCAGGAATTTGTCCTTAGAATTATTAACTGGACCACATTGGCTTGGCATTAGAGTTTTTTAAGCTACATAAGCACTCAGACTGTTAGTCATATCTCATTCAGGGTTTAATTTCTTTTTCAGTTCTGTCCAAGTTAGACAAGTTTTCCAGTTGTCATTTTCTCTTGAGGAAAACAAACTAACCTGTTGGGTTTCTTCTTTAAGCTGTTATTAAGGTAAAAATTAAAGGTATTTCCTAGTGACTTGTTTCCATTTCTACCCCTTACCCTTGGCTCTTAAAAGCATGCCCTATTTTCTTTATAATATTTTCCAGTTCATTTTGTATTAAAGTAGTGGTTCTTCAACTTTTTAGATTTCTTTAGATTTTTAGATTTATTTCACTTCACTTCTGTGCCTTACTAAAAAGTGCTGTATGATTTTTAAGCAATTAAATTGAATTAAAATTAAAATTTTTGACAATTTCATGACAATCCTTCATAAAATATTTCATTAAAATTTTTCTTAACACTTAAAATAAGATTATATCCGGGACAATTTGAATAAACTACAGTTGATTCAGTAAATTGAAATTAATTGTTTGAATTGATTGACCAATTTCATTTGAACTAGTTGAACCAATAATCCTGTATTGAAAGAACCTAAGTTTATACTGTTCCTCCAAGTTGTCTGCACCAGTTGACATTATGACATGACCTTTGTCTCTCTCTTCTCTTGGCTTCTCTGACACCAAACTCTCTTGATCCTCCTTTGACATTTCTGACTAACCACTGTCTCTCTCTGCTTTGTTTGTGCCTCTTGCTACTCCAGCCTCTACATGGAGACGTTGGCTACCGTTCTGTTTTCTTCCCCTTCTATACTTTCTCTGTCTCGAGGCAATCTCATTCCTCAGTGTACAGCATGGTTGCCACGTCCTATTTTGTGCTGTTGTTACCACTGTGCATATCTTATCTCCCCTATGGAAATCATAAGTTCCTTGAGGCAAGAACTACGTCTTATTTAGCTTTGTGCATCAACGAATATTTGTACAGAACACTGTGGAAGGACTTGAGGGAGACACGCACGTTAGCTTGGTCTGTCTCTAGAACAAGTTTTGTACAAATGGCTTTTGAATTGAATTTACCCTGAAATTGTGCATATATATCACAATGATTTGTTTGGGCAAGTAATGTTCTTTAGGGGGAAAACTAGTAATCTGGCTTTTATATTCATGTGGTAAAAATGGAAAGAGAAGGCAGAGAATCACAACTATAAGTCTTCACCATCATCATCATGAATAGTAAATACTGAGGGCCTAACTTACATAGGATACAATACTAGAAACTCTTAGTCTCACTAACATGCAGTTGATTCAACAGTAATACATTAAGAAAGGAAAGAAGAAATAAACACTTCGTTTTTATTTTTTTCTATCTTAATTCAATATTTTATTTTTCCCAATTACATGTAAAAACAATTTTAACATTCTTTTTTTCACATTTTGAGTTCCAAATTCTCTCCCGCCTCCATTGAGAAGCCAGCAACTGGACAAAGGTTATACATGTGGAATCATGCAAAACACATTTCATGTAAGTTATTCTGTGAAAGGAAACACAAACAAAAAAAATCCAAGAAAAATAAAGAAAAAATATCTTTGATCTAATAAATATTTAAGTGCCTACTATATGCCAAGCACTATGATAAACACTTTAGAAACATCTCATCTGATCCTCAGTATAACCCAGGGAGGTAGATATTACTATTATACCCATTTTACAAATGAGGAGACTGAGGCAAACAGAAGTTAAGTATTATAACCATTGCCAAGGTCACACAGCTAATAAGTGTTTGAGGTCAAATCTGAACTCAGGTTTTCATGACTCCTGTCCCAGCTCTCTAGCCATTGGGCCACCTAGCTGCCTCAAGTAAATAATTTTAATTCTCACCTTTTTAAAAACTAGTTCTTATTCTCAATTGAGTTGTTATTATTATATTTTAGTCTAGTTTAACCATCTAATAATATATTGACTGTCTCCTACATTTCCCATGATAATTAATATACTATTTATTTAAGCATATAATGTTCATTCTACAGTATTTGGTCAGATTCATGATTCACCTAGCCCAACATTAGGTCTCTTACAATAGCACCAATGAATGGTTGTCCTCCATGATATCAATTTCAAAACTTTTGGGTGGTTTTCCTTTAGCTATCATTCATTAGTTTATATAAACTTTTTCTGAATCTCCTTAGTTTTTCAGCTTTTAAAACTTTATAGAATAAATCGTTCCATAAATTTACTTCCCATTATATAAAGTAATTATTTCTTTCATTTGTCTTAAATTTATCTCTTAGACTTCATAAAATGAAATTAATTCCACCATTTGATGAACAAGTCCATGTTCATCCTAATTGTATCCTTAATAATTTTATAGACCTGACTTCAGTTTTCCTTACTTAAGTAATCATTATAGTCTGTCCTTATATAATAGTTCCTTTTAACCTTGGTAATTTAATTCTTTTTTAAAATAAATTTTATTGATGTCTTTTGTTTCAAATCACCCAAGTTTCCCTCTGCACCTCATTTGACACCATCTCAGAGAGCTACCCCATATTACAAAGAATTTTTTTTTAAAAAGAGCAAGAAGAGAAAAAAAATCAGTGAAACCAATAAACACAATGAGAAAATCTGACAATATATTCAGTATTCCCCACCCCTAGAGACCACCCACCCATCTCTGGATAGGAGTAGAGAGAAGTATCTTTTCATACCTCTTCTTTGGGACCAAGTTCATCCTTCGTAATTTTGCAACCTATGTTTTCAATTGTTTTATGATTGTTATTGCTGTAGTTAATATGCATATTGTTATATGAACATCAGTTCATGTAAGTCCATGCTTTTCTCTATTCATCATATTTTTTTCTTATAACACATTAATATTCTTTTTCACTCATGTGCCACTATCTGTTTAGTCATTCACCAATCAATAGACACATATTTTGTTTACAATTCTTTGCTACAACAAAGGGTTCTAAATATTTTGGTGTATACTAGGCCTTTCTTTATCAATGATCTCCTTGGAGTATATCAAAATGAAAGAGTATGGACATTTTAAACTGTTGTGGTTTGTCTTTCATTCTGGAAGAGGACCGTGACATCTGGAAGGTGATGTCGTTTCTTGCAAGTGAATTGGATTTAAGTGAGGCAGAGCTGTGCAAAGTCACCAGCCTCATTCTCTGGAGCCATCTGGATCCAGTGGCAAGATATAAATCAGGACAACCGGAGATGGCCCTAGATGCAGAGAGAGACCTTGACCTTTTTAAACTAAAGTCTTTCCCAGGTCTCAGTTTGTCTGAGGCAATGCCCATTCAGTGATTTTAGACATTTTATTTGCATAATTCCACATTGCTTTCGAGAATGATTGTATAATTTTGTTTTCTGCACCTTCTCTATTATGTGTTTGCTGAGATATATCATCCACAACATTTAATTCAAGGTAGGCAAAGATGAACCATGATTTGTACAAGTCATATAAAATTTTAAATATTAATGTTATTGTTGCAGAAGAACAATATTACCTGCACAAAGAAAACCCAGTGTCAGATTTGAATGATTCTAAGGTGAATTCAGTTCATCAAACATTATGTAAAACACTATACTAGGCACTGAAATAGATATATAAAGACATGTCCTCTGCCCTCAAGAATCTTATTTTCTAGAAAACATAAGATGTATACACATATAACTAAAACACATGATAAATGTTCATATTTTCTTTTTTCCCCTAATGCTTGTCTTGATCATTTAATCAGTAATTTTTCCAAGTGTCACAAATATTTATTAGTTACAGAACATAATCAGAATTCTAGTTTACTGTGATCACATCACAGTACAATTATAATCAAGAATCTACATCCTTGAAATGTGTAATAGTGAAATTAGCATATAGGAGAGTGACAAAAATACTTTTGAATCCCTGAGATAACTAAGTTGGTTTGGGTCAAATTTAGCTTTACAAGCACACTTACCCCAAGTAATGACCAATTGTTTGAGTTCTGTACAGCTGAGATATAGACATGAGGCCATGAGTAAAAAAGCTAGGAATAATGCCCACCATACCCACCAAGCAGAGGGACACAGAATGAGTGCAAGTAATCAGACCTGCGAGCAGTAATTATTCCAAGAACATAGCTGATGGGCCTTTTGCTATTCCTGTCGCAAGCAATGTCAGACTGTAAGAACCACTAGTGGAGTCACATTTGCTAAGGGTAATCTGATCTTCAACCCCTTAACCTAGTTGACACAGTTACTTCACTGAAAGCAGCTATATGGTTTTTCAGGTAGAAAGCTTTATAGGTTGAGTGATATAGGGAGTTCATTGCCCTCTGTGTATTGGCATCCTGCCCCATATTGGCATATTTTGTGACTTTTTATGCCTCCCTCAGAATCAGCTCCGCTAGTATTGGCCCAAGGGAGGTTTGTCTTTTGTGTTCCCAGGAGAATGAAGACCTTTTCATAGGGTCTTTGTTAGTCCATAGGTAGTAGGAATAAAGTGGAAAACTGTCCCAGATTGGTCTTGTTATAAAGAATAGGACCTCTGATAAGAATAGCCTCTAGATTATGATAACAGAGTTCCTGTCAAAGAGTAAATTCTACCTTAGGTCACAAAGAGCTATTAAGATCTCAGGAGCCCCTGAGGGCATCACAGGGCCACATTACAGGGATAAGTTATCTCCTCACACTGGGAATATAAACAACAACTTGGTTTTTAGTAGCCCCTAAAAGTGTCCCTGTGACCCTGCTTAAAAGGCACTTCAACCCTAGGAAAGTTCCATGTCTCTGGGAAAAGAGAAGAGAATTAGTGAAAGGGAGGCAGTGGTGCAACAGACCTGAGTTCATACTCTTAGATTTAGAGCTGGAAGATCATTGAAGCTCACTTCTTATTTTACAATGGAGGTCCTGAGAGGCTAAGTACCTTGCCTCCTG